CATATCAATGATGTGTATTGTCACACTAGAAAGTGTGATGGCTGTTGGATTCAGGCAGGGTCTCCCTATGAGAACTATCTGTCTGTGAGGGCCATGGATACATGTGTTACTGATGTTGTTCAGATCAGTCTCTCTCTCTGTGAAGTTTCTTTGTTGGTGGGGTCTTTCTCTCTCTGTGCAACTTGGTCTCAGAGCATTTTGTATTATTCTGTAAGTAAATCCGAGACACTCCATTTAGTGTATTATGTTACGTTTCGTATGTATTAATTTGTGGATGTCCATCACATTTTACATTTACATTTTAGTCATTTAGCAGACGCTCTTATCCAGAGCGACTTACAGCAGCAATTAGGGTTAAGTGTCAAGGGCACATCGACAGATTTTTCACCTAGTCGGCTCGAGGATTAGAACCAGCGACCTTTTGGTTACTGGCACAACGCTCTTAACCTCTAAGCTACCTGCCGCCCCATTTAGTATGATATGTTACGAATTACAATCCGTAATAAATGTTACAAATTTGCAAAACGTACAATATATTACGAATTTGCAAAACACACTATATGGTACGAATTTGCTAAACTTATGATATGTTACGAATTCTAGCTAGGTGGCTAGGTGGCTAACATTAGCTAGCTGGCTAACGTTAGCTAGGCTCGGGGTTAGGGCTAGGGTTAGGGGAAGGGTTAACTAAAAGGGTTAGGGCTAGGGGAAGGGTTAGCTAACATGCTAAGTAGTTGCAAAGTAGCTAATTAGCTAAAATGCTAAAGTTGTCCGTGATGAGATTCAAATTCGTAATCTGTGGATTGCTAGATGTTCGCGTTATATGCCCATCCATCCACCCCGACCAACTACCCTACTTTCATTTTTGCCTTAAGTAACCATCTGTCGTATGTAACCATACCAAACATAACATATCATACTACTTTGAGTGACCCAGATTTACTTTACTATGTTACGTCTAGTCTATGAGACCAGGCTGCGCTGTGAGGGATCTATCTATCTCTATGAAAGCTGTAGATGTGAGTGATGATGTTAGTTCAGTGCAGGCTCTCTGTATGTGAATGATGATGTTAGTTCAGTGCAGGCTCTCTGTATGTGAATGATGATGTTAGTTCAGTGTGGTCTATGACGGCTCTGTCTGTGACTGACACTCGTCTTCATGAGTGATGATGGTGTTTCCAACCTGTCTCTCTCTGCGTGAATGTTCTGTAGGTGAGTGATGTTTCTACATTGTGGGGTCTGCCTGTGAAACATCTATGAAAAGTGAACAATGGTGATGGTTCAGTGTGGCCTCTGTCTCTGTGAATGTTGTGCTATGAGAGATGTTTCAAGCTTTCTCTCTCGCACTCTCTCTCTCTCTCTCTCTCTCTCTCTCTCTCTCTCTCTCTCTCTCTCTCTCTCTCTCTCTCTCTCTCTCTCTCTCTCTCTCTCTCTCTCTCTCTCTCTCTCAATTCAATTCTCTCTCTGGGCTGCTGTTGTGTTGTTGTGTTGCGATGTTCATAAGCTGTGCCAGTCCCCATTAGCATCCCATTAGAACCCAGCAGGATCACCAATCACTCAGAGTCCCTGTCTCAGCACTATACCTTCATTAGTACTGTCACACTATGTGGGTCTCAGAGCCGTCACGCATGGCAAGATTTTGAGGGGATGCTGATGGTCATATTCAGTGTCTCTGAATAATATTCCTGTGTAGAAGAAACTGTGTGTGTATACAAATGGATGATATTGACAAGGCACATGAGGCACATGTGTGATGCCTTTGGAGTGGCTGTCCTTTCCTATCCAAGTCAGTGGGATAGCGGGGAGAGTGCAGCACAGTAGCAGGAATATATTGGAAATTCTGTGGCTTAAATGGTTCATTCTGTTGTAGTCGAGGACGTGATTTGGGTTCAGATGTGTCCAGAGGGGTGAGCTGAGGTGCTACTATTTCATTCCACATCCACAATAGGCTTGTCTGTAGGCCTACCCATGATATTCACTGCACAAAGGAATGATATTCCTTAGTCTATTGTAAGGTGTCTATTTCATTCATGTTTTCACATGTTTTTAGGCAAATTCACGTTCTTGTATTTGACCCAGATTTCTGACTTGAGCCCGGTGTTGATAAATGGAATGTTCTGTTGCACACCTACCTGCGTAACAACATCTCTATTAAAACAACACACAGTCAACACCGCCCTCTGCTGACTGACTTTATGTAGTTTATATAGGTTCATGGGCCCACTATCACATGTATTATATAATAAAATATATTGTTAACTCTATATTTTTCAACGTTTTTTTATTTCCTTTTTTCTTCATAATGCTATGTTGTAAAATGCTGTTAGTCAATGAGTAGTACAATCTATACATTCATCCATTAGAGTACATTTACATTTAACTGTACAATCTTAATTTGGAGGGAGTTAGCTGACATTTTGAATGGAAAGTGTCAGATAAGATAATTCAAAATAGGACAAAAGCCCTTGTCAGTTAAATGTGTATTAGTGACACACGCAGACACACCCACGCACGTGCACACTCACAAACACACGCACACCAGTGGAGGCTGCTGAGGGGAGGACGGCTCATAATAATGGCTGGAACTGAGTAAATGGAATGGCATATCATGTATTTGATTTATTTGATACCATTCCGCTCCATCCTCCCCAATTAAGGTGCCACCAACCTCCTGTGATGCACACTCCTATATGCTGCAGACCCCTCCCACTCCACAACACACAAACACACACCTCTGTGATTGTGTTTGGTAATGGCAGGCTTTAACCCTCTGTTCCGAATCACCCTGCCTCCCCCCCCTGAACCCCATGCTCTGTTCACAGTTACTCACCCTATGCCCGCTCCTGTTCCAAGCCCCCATTTGCTCTGGTCTGCCCTCCCCGTCCCTCTCCTTTGCCCCTCTGGTCACAGTCTAATGGTGGAATGTAGAGTGTCTCTAGCCCCCTCCCTGGAGATTACGGTTCGCAATGCATTCCCCTTCACTTCATTCCATTCCAAAGTGTGCCCCCTAAGAGCGGACACATTTTTATCTGAGCCTGGCTATTGTGACACACACACACACACACGCACACGCACACGCACACACACACACACACACACACACACACACACACACACACACACACACACACACACACAGATGCACGTGAGACACCCAGGGGGCTGGACAGGCAAGCAGGGTAGAGAGGGACCAGGCCCTGCCAGGCTCCAGTTATAAAACCCTCCCAGGATGTGGCCAGTGTCCTGCTCCTAGCTGTGCTCTAACTCCCTCATCTGTGCCACTACACCCCACGGACAGACGGGCAGCGGCCAAGCCAAGCCGCCACCATGAACGACATCTACAAAGCAGCGGTATGTCCCACTCCACTCCTACAACAGGGTACATTGTCTGGGGAGACTGTGAAAGTGTTTGTATTTGGTAGGGAGCATCATAATATAAGAATTGATTGAAATATTGCTCAATTTGGGATTTTCAGTGATAGGTGAGACAAGTTTTTTGGTTATGTGGTCTCTGCCAAGTTAGGTCCAAATTGTTGTTGTCAGATTTCTGTGTAAAGGTTGATGCAGTGTAAAGGTTTAGGCAGGTTACAATTTCAAATGAACACTTCAGGATTCACCCTTGATTTTAATGAAAGGTACCTGTAATATTTAGTAAAAAACTTTATAGAGGGTAACATTTTTCAGATAAACAATTCCTTCAAATGAGGTACATATGGATATTCCCTAGCCAAATGTCCAAGAATTTTGCAATTTGTAATTCTGACATTGCACAGATAATTCAACTTCCATAATAAAACTGTGTCTGTCAAGCGAACACACACAACACCAGCCTTTGACGAGAGAGGCGAGATACCATACATCTAGATGCCGTGCCTCTTGAAGCCTATCAGGGTTGATAGGAGCACTCCAGGGGTCAGATGCCCCTGGTCCACACTGTGGGTTCATTCATGACTACAAATGGAGCAGTCCCACTTCTCATGGGCTAATTTAGGCCAGTTGCTCAGAGCCTCCTGCATGTGTGTTTCTGTGATGTCAGAAGAGGGCTTCAGGTCTAGATACACCCCTAGATACACCCCCCCCCCCCCCCCCCCCCCCCTGTATGTTTATCTGCCTAGCAATGTTTGGATGGACATTGCTCTTTTTCCTATAGATCATCACCAACGGAGTGTGTGTTTAATTTGTGGTGGACAACAGACAATAACTCTTATATAAGCAGCTGTCGCCCTCTCATTTGCGGTAGCTTTTCCAGGATGGATGACCAAGTGTGAAGGACCAAAAATAACTGTACCTTTGGTGGGTGAATAAGCTTTGTGTAAATTAAAGAAACATTTGAGGTGAACTGTTCCAGAGAATGGGTTCCGCCTTCTGGAGTTTACTGTAAATCCTCTGAAGGATTATTTTCATACACTAGATTTCTCTATCAAATATTTATGATTTAGGACTGGACCTTTCTCACAGCTGAATTTGAAAACTCCACAAATAAGATTAAAATGAATGGAAGAACAAAGGTAATAGAGGTATCACACACATGTTATTGCAAGAATGCAAAATATGATATTATGCTTATCAAAGAAAAACAGTAAATCAAACGTTATGATATGTGGTTGTAAAAGTAATGTACAACTGCAGTTAAAGAATGGATTCCATAAAATATATTGATTCGATTGCTTCTGAAAACTTTCCCTTTCTTAAATAGGTAGAGCAGCTGACAGACGAGCAGAAAAACGGTATGTAAAATGTGTATTCATCTGTATTTCATTATGGTTTGCTAACTTATGTGGGATATATCCTCAAGTTTTGCTCAATTGAATCACATCTATAACAATATTAGGCTTAAAACATTTTACCATTCTCTACTTCAGGCCTAAATGAAAAGTAAACGTTAGATTTCTCAGAAGATTAAATAAGATGATTGACTGAGAAAGTATCTCTTACACTACAGTAGCCCACACATATAACTGACCATGAAAAAAGGAGGGAGTGGGAACAGAATAAGAAGCATGGTCCTGTGCTGTGCTGTGCTGTGTGTTGCAGAGTTCAAGGCGGCCTTTGACATCTTTGTCCAGGATGCGGAGGACGGCTGCATCAGCACCAAGGAGCTGGGCAAGGTGATGAGGATGCTGGGGCAGAACCCCACCCCCGAGGAGCTGCAGGAGATGATCGACGAGGTGGATGAAGACGGTAAACACACACACACATGAAAGAGAGACTCAAATTATCACAATAGGCCCATTTATTTCCCATCGATAGTTCCCATAATGATTCACGTATGAGAGTATTTGGTGAGCTCATCAGACGTGGACAAGAATGGTACACAACAAAGACAAGCACTTGTAGTCTGCTCATCAAAAGGCCAATTCATGCCTCATTGATGGTTCACCAGGGACAGTTGTACACTGTTCTTTCTAAGACCGTAAACACACAAAAGAAAAACATCACATGGCTGAGTAGAGTATCTCGTCACGTGTAACAGCTACATATGTAGGATCTTAATTTGACCTATATTGTCATAGCCAAATAACGTTTAGTCCATAATGTTGCTTGATCAGTGGTTAGGCTATTAGCTGGCCAAAAGTAGGCTACATGAAAACTGCAATACGGTTAACATAACCGTGTGTTGGTGAAGGTTTTCAGTGAATTTATGCAAATCCCGAAGCTCATATGCATTTCCTGCGGTGCAGGAAAATTCTCAGCAACAAAAGAGTGATCAAATGAAGGTCTATATATCAAAGACAGGCTCCTTGACCCAAAACGTTGTGTGACATCATCCTGTTGCTGTGTCTTTGCAGGCAGTGGGACGGTGGACTTTGATGAGTTCCTGGTGATGATGGTGAGGTGCATGAAGGACGACAGCAAAGGGAAAACAGAGGAGGAACTGGCAGATCTCTTCTGCATGTTTGACAAGTATGTTTATCCTCATAAGTACATACGGAGACTCATAAGGGGGATGAAGTCTGGAAAAGTAACTCTTCATAGTCTTACCCAACTAACCCACAGTTTATGGATGGATTATAGCGTATTGGATTTATAAAGTGCTTTTCACCAGGACTAACATGTTCAACACGGTATAGGAGTACCTTACCCTGTCTATCACCAATGTGCAGCACCGACATGGTTGATATACACTACCGGTCAAAAGTTTTAGAACACCTACTCATTCAAGGGTTTTTCTTTATTTTTTACTATTTTCTACATTGTAGAATAATAATGAAGACATCAAAACTATGTAATAACACATGGAATCATGTAGTAACCAAAAAAGTGTTAAACAAATCAAAATATATTTTATATTTGAGATTCTTCAAATAGCCAACCTTTGCCTTGATGACAGCTTTGCACACTCTTGGAATTCTCTCAACCAGCTTCATGAGGTAGTCACCTGGAATGCATTTCAATTAACAGGTGTGCCTTCTTAAACGTTAATTTGTGGAATTTCTTTCCTTCTTAATGCGTTTCAGCCAATCAGTTGTGTTGTGACAAGGTAGGGGGGTATATAGAAGATAGCCCTTTTTGGTAAAATACCAAGTCCATATTATGGCAAGAACAGCTCAAATAAGCAAAGAGAAACGACAGTCCATCATTACTTTACGACATGAAGGTCAGTCAATACGGAAAATAATAATCAAATGTGCCATTTAGCAGACGCTTTTATCCAAAGTGACTTACAGTCATGCGTGCATACATTTTTGTATGGGTGGTCCCAGCAGGAACAGATTTGTAAAGCAGTATAAATAATCCTCCTCTCCTATGCCCCCCAGGAATGCAGACGGCTACATAGACCTGGAGGAGCTGAAGGTAATGCTGGAGGCCACAGGGGAGGCCATCACTGAGGACGACATCGAGGAGCTCATGAAGGACGGAGACAAGAACAACGACGGGAAAATCGACTACGACGGTGAGGTTTTGACAATGAAAGTTAACCACATACTGTAGAGACAGAATAATTCCTTCCTCTGATCTTGTATTCATGATAATGATGCAATTGAACAGCTGGATATTTCACTGCTAGAAAAGGAAATTGCCAATATAAATTAAGCATGGTAACATATTATTCACAAGTAAAGCAGTGTAGTGACCAAAGTGAGGAAAATGTTTTTCTTTGTGTTCAATTAAGATTGTAGTTGACTAAATCACTCCCTTTTCCCTGCCCTTTGTTCCAGAGTTCTTAGAATTCATGAAAGGAGTAGAATAAACAGTGTCAAGGGAAGACAGAGTCCCCTGGCCCTTGATGATATTTGTATGTTTCACTTCAACATCACAGACATCTATGTACAACTGGAGGCTGACTTTTGGATGTCATCGGTAGAACTTCTGAACGACTTGCAAGATTTAGTTGAATAATCAATCTATCTAATTGCTTATGTATTTTTTTTTAGAACTTTCTACCATTTCTTGCATTGTTGTAAATACAGTTTGTAACTCATTTTGGTGTCCATAGACTGCATTTGTTTAAATGTAACCACCTGAAAATAATCACATAACTTGCATATCACTTCAGTTTGGCTACTTGAACTATGTATTATTGTTTTATTTCAAATGTCATGTGAATTTTTGCAGTGACACAAACAGTTTACACGTCTCTTCTTTTTCAAAGTTGCTGATGTTGTGCTGTCAGACAGAATGCTGTTTGAAATGCATCCTATTAATAATAATAATAATATAATAAATATTAGGCATAGGACAGTGCATCTGTTCCTATAAGTCCCTGTAATTAGACCATACTTTGATCAGCCCATTAGTAGTCTAAGCCTACATTTAAATGTACATTTATGTAGTTCTGTCCTTGAGCTGTTCTTGTCTATTAATGTTCTGTATTATGTCATGTTTCATGTTTTCTGTGGACCCCAGGAAGAGTAGCTGCTGCTATCGCATCAGCTAATGGGGATCCTAATACAATACGATAATACCAATACCAAATGCGATGTAGCCACATTGCAGACAAGGTATAATGCAATGCTTGTACAGTGGGGGAAAAAAGTATTTAGTCAGCCACCAATTGTGCAAGTTCTCCCACTTAAAAAGATGAGAGAGGCCTGTAATTTTCATCATAGGTACACGTCAACTATGACAGACGAGAAAAAAAAATCCAGAAAATCACATTGTAGGATTTTTAATGAATTTAATTGCAAATTATGGTGGAAAATAAGTATTTGGTCACCTACAAACAAGCAAGATTTCTGGCTCTCACAGACCTGTAACTTCTTCTTTAAGAGGCTCCTCTGTCCTCCACTTGTTACCTGTATTAATGGCACCTGTTTGAACTTGTTATCAGTATAAAAGACACCTGTCCACAACCTCAAACAGTCACACTCCAAACTCCACTATGGCCAAGACCAAAGAGCTGTCAAAGGACACCAGAAACAAAATTGTAGACCTGCACCAGGCTGGGAAGACTGAATCTGCAATAGGTAAGCAGCTTGGTTTGAAGAAATCAACTGTGGGAGCAATTATTAGGAAATGGAAGACATACAAGACCACTGATAATCTCCCTCGATCTGGGGCTCCACGCAAGATCTCACCCCATGGGGTCAAAATGATCACAAGAACGGTGAGCAAAAATCCCAGAACCACACGGGGGGACCTAGTGAATGACCTGCAGAGAGCTGGGACCAAAGTAACAAAGCCTACCATCAGTAACACACTACGCCGCCAGGGACTCAAATCCTGCAGTGCCAGATGTGTCCCCCTGCTTAAGCCAGTACATGTCCAGGCCCGTCTGAAGTTTGCTAGAGTGCATTTGGATGATCCAGAAGAGAATTGGGAGAATGTCATATGGTCAGATGAAACCAAAATAGAACTTTTTGGTAAAAACTCAACTCGTCGTGTTTGGAGGACAAAGAATGCTGAGTTGCATCCAAAGAACACCATACCTACTGTGAAGCATGGGGGTGGAAACATCATGCTTTGGGGCTGTTTTTCTGCAAAGGGACCAGGACGACTGACCCGTGTAAAGGAAAGAATGAATGGGGCCATGTATCGTGAGATTTTGAGTGAAAACCTCCTTCCATTAGCAAGGGCATTGAAGATGAAACGTGGCTGGGTCTTTCAGCATGACAATGATCCCAAACACACCGCCCGGGCAACGAAGGAGTGGCTTCGTAAGAAGCATTTCAAGGTCCTGGAGTGGCCTAGCCAGTCTCCAGATCTCAACCCCATAGAAAATCTTTGGAGGGAGTTGAAAGTCCGTGTTGCCCAGCGACAGCCCCAAAACATCACTGCTCTAGAGGAGATCTGCATGGAGGAATGGGCCAAAATACCAGCAACAGTGTGTGAAAACCTTGTGAAGACTTACAGAAAACGTTTGACCTGTGTCATTGCCAACAAAGGGTATATAACAAAGTATTGAGAAACTTTTGTTATTGACCAAATACTTATTTTCCACCATAATTTGCAAATAAATTCATTAAAAATCCTACAATGTCATTTTCTGGAAAAAAAATTCTCATTTTGTCTGTCATAGTTGACGTGTACCTATGATGAAATTTACAGGCCTCTCTCATCTTTTTAAGTGGGAGAACTTGCACAATTGGTGGCTGACTAAATACTTTTCCCCCCCACTGTATGTTTAACATATTCTCTCAGGGCTAGTTATTCTGCTGGAGAGCCTGTGGTGGATGTACCCACCATACGTCTGCTTAGAATGTACACTCAAGTAATAAATGTGTTAGCCAAAGCAACATCTGGTTTGTCTGATAGGACCAAGAGGTGACAGCAGGCCTAAAGAAGATCCTAGGCGTGCCTCTTCTGTATATCATCTTCAACACCATAGTGTTGAACAAGCCCAGCCCGTGCTCGGTGAACCATGTGCAGGCTGTGGCTCTGGGAGAGATGGTCACACCAGCCCAGCAGCAGAGCATCAACAGCCTGAAGGAGGTGCAGGGGAACGGGCAGGATGGAGAGCGCCGGGGCAAGAAGCGTAACAGGAAAATCTCCAATCCTAACCCGCTCAGCTGCCTGAAGAAGAAGAAAAAACAGCCACCGACGCAACCGCTTAAGACTGAGCAAGCCAGAGAGAGGGGAGGGTCCATCCCTCAAACCACCCCCAAACCCCTAGTGTGGTGGGAACAGACTTGTTTATGAGGGCAGTAATAAGAGCTGATTTTTTTTCCACCATTCCCAAAGGCTGAATATAAAATGTATACATCTTTTTTATAGATAAATGACCGTTTAGATCTTTAGTAAACACATTTGCTCTGTATTTGCCAGATCAATGGCATTTCATTGGAATTCAAGAGTTCCAACTTCAAATGTTTGGAGAACATCAACACAATGAATTCAGTCTTTGTATTGTGTCATTTATCATGACGTCATGTTTCTAAAGATGTCACAATCTTGTTTTTGAATACCATAAGGTATTGATATTCTAAGTCATTATTATTATAGTAAGGCCATTATATCCAATTTTTAAGTCGCTCTGGATAAGAGCGTCTGCTAAATGACGAAAATGTAAATGTAAATGTAAATATTAGTTTGAATGTATTTGGTTCAAGGAGAGTTTTTGGGCTGAAAATTATTTACCATGAGAAACATTGTTTAAATGTTTTCTTTCCTTTTATCAAAAGTATAAGAGTCCTGCTTTACTTTAAAAAGTATACAATGGGCTAAAACTCAATAAGGTCATATATTTAGTTTGTATGAATCTTTCATCATAACCTGTGAACTTCACTTTTTACTCCAACTCTTCCTTCTGATGTATCCACATTGCTCTCCTATTGATTTCACTGTACATTTTGGTGCAACACATAGGATCTTCTCTGCAGGGGTATGTGGGAGGTTGAACATATTCCAGCATTCATATGGTTGGAGGGACAGTATCTAGTTACACAATGTATCTGTCACGCTCTGGCTCCGGGACTGTGTATTTTGAGCCAGGGTGTGTTCATTTGGTTGTGTTTGGTATTGGTTGTGTTGTATTTGGTTGTGTTTCCTTGTTTGGTCGTGTGACTCCCAATCAGTGGTAACGAGTGTCAGCTGTCGGCTCGTTATCTCTGATTGGGAGCCATATTTAAACTGTCAGTGTTCACCTTAGTGTTGTGGGTTTTTGTTCCGTATCAGTCATTGTAACTGAGGA